AAAAATATTTCTTGAAATCAGAATTGATTTTCATCAAGACAAAGAATAATTGCGTGTACTAATTTATGTTTCGTCCTTTGTTTATTTATTTTTTAACTTCATTTTTAATTTCAAATTAAGTACACATTATATGTCGGTAGGTTTAGTATTAATTCTCAACTTCCCATATTTCAAATCCACAATTTCAAATTTTTATTCCGAAAAAACATCAAAAGTCCCAAATTAAAATTAAACCCACAGCACTGATATTATCCTGAGTTTAAAATTCGTTACGTTTCTTTCTCCGAATTTTATTCCCGAAATATATGGAAACCCAAAGCATATTTTTCGCCGTACAAACGCCTCGTGTCACAACTTCGATTTACGTTTCTCATTGTCGAACCGTTTGCTGTATCGTCAAAGAATCGAGGCAATGTTGTTTCACGTACACCGAGTTCTTTTTCGCGTGTGTTTTTACCACGATATATTATGCGTTATGGATATATAGAAATATGAAAATACCCGACGAAACGTGGATGTCACGCTTGACGCCGAATATGTCGATGGTTCAGCCAAAACACACCGCCTTTGTTCTCGTTGAACGGGAATTCTTTTTTTTTTCTGTATAAAGATAGGATAAGTTTGCTATCAAGCTTGAAGTGCTTTGATTAAATCAGGTCAAAAACAGTTAAGAATTTAATAATGACGGCAATAAAAACACTCATACATGTATAAAGTGATATATCACATAAAAAGCTTTGTCCGTAAAATGAAATACAAAAGACGGGACAATCGAAGCAATCAAATCATCAGATATTGAACAGCAATCATTATAGCGTATAACGGCGGAGTTTCGCAAAACGCGAGTGGCCGCGATCGGCTCGATTCACGGAAGGAAATGTTCATTAAAATGCCTAGCGTTCCTATCGTTTAATCGATGCTCGGTTAAGGTCAACGATTTCCTATCGTCGATACGTTTCTTTGAACGTTGCTGCTCGTTGCAAATTATCTATCGGTAATCCCGACGCCACCCCCCTGTGCTCGAGACAAGAACATCGAATCGAATTAAAACGAGAGGCACGCTATCGACCGTACCGCGAATGGCTAATTAGTCGACGATAAATTCGCGTTACGATGTTAAATCGCGTCGATTCGAACAACTACATCGACGAGAGATTGATTAGGTACAACGACAACCAACGGACGACGCTCGTTACCGACCCGACAACGTTTCTTTTCAAGACTTTTTGCGCACGGTTATCGACCGGCCAACCCGCGCAAACAAAGAGAGTCATAATCTTTTCCCGGTATTTTTGACTATCATCGTTTCGAAGAATTCGAACGTTTGTCTACGCTGCGAGCATAATTGAATTCATTGGAGGAACAATACTGTGATCTGTGGCTGTGCTGTCTCTTCGTGGGGATATTAAACTTTTGAATTTTTAGTGGTGGTAGGTAGACAATTTTTAGGTGGAAGGTTTCGTCGATGCAAAGTGTTGTAGGGGGTTTTCTAAATAATTACTGAGTATGTAAGAGTGAAGGTATTATATATTTGAAGATGTGATTTTAACGATGTGATTAGGAACGACATCTAACTGACTCTCCCTCAATAAAGGTTGAGGATGGGTTCACCAATTAGGTCTTAAGTATCTACGAGTACCAGGGTTTGTCTCTTGCCAGAGATATTAACCCTTCAATTTTATTCTGATGGTAGACAGCAAATTTTTAGGCGAAAAATTTGATCAACTCATGTTATAACCAATTCAAGTTATTATTGTTGAATTTATGAGAGGAATAATACACTGATTCATAGCTCCTATGGTTATATGGCTATATAGCTACCTCTTACTAGGGAAATTAATCCTTGGAATTTTTCCTGATGGTAGACAGTAAAGTTTTAAGTAGAGAGTTTGATCAATTCAAGTCATTACCAATGCAAGTTATTATTGTTGAATTCATGAGAGAAACAATACACTGATCCATAGCTACCTCCTATGGCTATATTGCTAAATGACTATATAGATGCCTCCTACTAGGGATATTAATCCTTCAAATTTTTAGTGGTGGCAGGCAGTAAAATTTTTAATTGACAAGTTTCATCTATTCAAATTATTATTGAATTCATGAGAGGAACAATACTGATCCACAGCTATGACTACCCCCTGTTAGTGAAATTAATTTTTCAATTCACCATTAAAATTAAATTTTTTAAATTTGATCAATTGAAGTTATTACTAACTCAAGTTATTTAATCATTTTTGGGGTAGAAAATTTATAAGAAGCAACCACCCTTGTTTATTCTATAGTGTATTGGTCAGGAGAGACAGGGGATCATAATAAAGTATAATTAAATTTGTAGCTAAAATATCTGGTCCATCAAAGTATGTTTTTTATGTTATGTAAGGGTAGCTTGAATTTCTTATTGAATTTAAAATAGAGAACTGTTGCAAAACAATTAATTTTTATCCATGAGTAATTATGATTGCAGTCTTCTTTTAACAAAATGTTAATTATTTGAACAAAATATTAATTCATTTCAATTAGAGAACTCTTGTAAAACAACTACTCTATATTCATGAATAATCATAACTACAATCTTCTTTTAACAAAATGTTAACTACTCAAACAAAATATTAATTGAAATTCCAAATGTTTTGAAAGATAGTGAATCTTCAGGTGCAACGTCCTCCACGCAGTCTTGGCACGACTTACAAAAGCATTTTACATTCTCTACTTTTTTTAAAGAAACAGTTCAATCATCATACAGGGATGAATATCTACAAACTCTATCAAATATATCAATATTTACCAAAGGTTACCAAGTTCATTGAAACGAGCACATAAAAATTGTAATTTAAAAAAAACTCGGTAAGATGTTTCTCCCAGCCATGTTATTAAAGCTTCCATTAAGGGGGCTGAACTCCCAGAAAATTTTCGAAAGTTTAATGGAAGGCCTGTGGGAATATGGAAGCCGTTTGCGAAGGAACTGAATGGAGTATTATGCGAATAGGCCATCTGGGCGGACGAAAGTGTGCGGGTTTCTATATTTGATACAAAAGCTATTCTACCGAACTAACGTTCCTTTTCCCCAGAAACTGTTTACGCATACCAGTCGTTTTATTATACGGATATAATCAACGACACCGGGTTTAGCCGAAATACGTGCTTTACTTTATTCCATGCCAGAAATATACGGAAATAACTAAAAACCGAGTAAATTCGATTAATGTTACTAACATCGTATCGAGTTAAAAATATTATCAAGATTAATACTGCTGATCGGTAAGTCGATGATAAATGAAGAAAGGAAGCGATCGAAGTGGTTGTAATCGAAGAGCATGATTAACTCGATAATCGTTGATCACTTTTGATCATGATTGAACCAATACAATTTTCATTTTAAATACGAGAGAGTTCATAATATTGGGTATGTGTGAATTATGTACGAAAACAAAATTAATCACTCATTGAATGACAATTGTAATTGCATATTATGGAAATTGTTTACGAGTGTCGATTACTATGATTACTTTTAGTGGTGAATGAGAAAAGTGGTAATGTAACAATTAATTGCAATTTAATTGTGGGTGTAGGAGGTTTGGGGATATTAGAATATTGAGGTCTAGAGACTTTGGGAAGGTGAAGCTTAGGGATGTTGCAATGCAGAAATATTATCTTGGAATCTAGGGATATTGGGTTTTAAGAATATTGAGATCTGGGAATATTGTGATTTAAGAGTGTTGAGATCTAGGGATATGGGGATCTAGGGATGTTGAAATCTTCGAGTATCGGGATCTAGGGATATTGCAATCTTCGAGTATGGGGATCTAGGGATATTGCAATCTTCGAGTATCGGGATCTAGGGATGTTGTAATCTTCGAGTATTGGAATCTAGGGATATCGCAATCTTCGAGTATCGGGATCTAGGGATATTGCAATCTTCGAGTATTGGGATCTCGGGATATTGCAATCTTCGAGTATTGGGATTTCGGGATATTGCAATCTTCGAGTATCGGGATCTAGGGATATTGCAATCTTCGAGTATTGGGATCTAGGGATATTGTAATCCAAGAGTGTTGAGATCTATGTTGTCATCTACGAATATTGAGGTCTAGTGATATTGCCATCTTCGAATATTGGAATCTCGGGATATTGTCATCTTCGAGTATTGTAATCTAGGGATATTATAATCTTCCGGTATTGGAATCTAGGGATACTATAATCCAAGAGTATTGAAATCTAAGGATATTGTCATCTACGAATATTAGGATCTAGGAATATTGTAACCTGCGAATATTGTGGTACTGTCATCTACGAATATTGTAATCTAAATATATTGCAAGGATCTAAAGATATCAAAATATTATATTCTAGAGATATTTGTATATTGAGATCTAGGAATACTAGAACATTCAGACCTAAATACATTCTAGGGACACCAAACTGAGATCCAGAAACTAGTCTCGAGACAATAAATATTTTAATCCAGAGATCCAGCAATGTGACGTCACAGATTTATATGAATATAGATATAAATTTCTTAAGATGTCGGAGATAGAAATATAGGCGATTTAAATGTACCCAAATTTGGCGATAGAAAAAGTAAAAATTACAGTGATGTAAACCATTGAGAAGAAACACAACTCGACACAATACACGCATACATCTCCTTTTTAATAGAAGCAGGAAGCGATCGAACGAAACATGATTCACGAACGAAAAAAGAATAAAAGATATCGCGCGCTCAAAGTCGAACACGCACCTGACTCGAGCGCAATAATCGCACGCGTCTCTAACCGATCGGCAGATCGAGCCCCGATGACACACGATCGACGGACCCGGCGCTATTTCAAGAGATCGAGATGCAGGAAGACCGGGAGAGCACGAAGAAAACCAGTTCACCGGTTGGTAAGGGCTACGTGACGCAAGTAAAATAACACGGTTTCACGAAGAGAGAAGCGTCGCGTCATAGCCGCGTTGTTCGATCATTACCGAGTAAAGTATGAAATTCATCGACTTACGTCAACTGCAAGAGCACCGTTCTCGATCGATACACCGCGATATCTCGTCTCTCGCTTCCTCCCACGACGTCCCTGTCCCTCTATATCAAGTAAAGCTGGCTCTCGTCCCTTTGTTCTTTCGCGCGATCGTCCGGATTCGATGGATCCACCACAAGCACCAAAACAGAACTGAACAACAGAGAAGTTTTCTTTTGTCACGGACAGGTCGGAACGCGACTGGTCACACGCGGCAAAACAAGGGAAAAACGTCGAACACAACACACACGCGGTCGTGGCACAGCTGGTACAGAAAGGAAAACGTCGTTGCGTAGTTGCAGCCGAGCACTCGGGACTCGAGCGCGTTTCAAGGGCAAGGCTAGCCCTCGTCGTCGAAGGAACAAGATAGTTTCATCGCGTCAGCGACGGATACGAGAACGTTTAGACGATTAAAAGCAGGCAAATCGCGAACGAACGCTCCTCTCGCGTTCGAGCGGATACGAACGAACCGAACGGATTGACTTTCGTTACGCGACGAGAGGGGCAGAGCGCTCGTCGCGAAC